TGTAAGTATAAAGCACATGAACTGAAAACTATGGGATACTCAGTACACATGGATACTGTAAGTGTAAATCACACGAACTAAAAACTAGGGATAGTCAATATACATAATTAAGAGTAAAGTGAAAAGGCAAGTTAAACCGAATGACATATTTAATGATATATTAAATGACATATTTAATGAATTATTTAATGACAAGTTGAAATAAATAACATGATGGGATAACTCACGCGCTGTGACGACTTTCACTATGTCATCCATAAAGTCACTGAAGCCGAGGTCATTGAAAGACTGGACGCTAAACATATACTCTGTGGATGGACTTAATCCACTTACAACGTGGGTCGTGGAGTTGGGAGGGAAGATGTCCGTGTACTGATAGGCAAGGGACTCTGTGGGCTTGTAGCGGATTCGGAAAGACTGGATTAACCCTCCGTCAAACGCCGGTACCCACCTTAATAGAACTGAGTCACTTGTGAAGTTTACCACCTTCAGAGCCACTGGTGGGTCTGGGTGACCTAAAACACAAACACCATTTATATCAGACTTTAAAACGTTCTCTAGTACAGCAGAAACACGGGTTTCTTAACTAAAAATTACACATATTCTCTAGGTGAATAGGAGTCATAGGTGTAGTAATACTGTAGGCGAATGGGAGTCATAGCTGTAATAATGTTGTAAGTGAATGGGAGTCATAGCTGTAGTAATGTTGTAGGTGAATAGGAGTCATAGCTGTACTAATATTGTAGGTGAATGGGAGTCATAGCTGTAGTAATGCTGTAAGTGAATAGAAGTCATAGCTATAGTAATGTTGTAGGTGAATAGGAGTCATAGCTGGAGTAATGCTGTAGATGAATGGGAGTCATAGCTGTAGTAATGCTGTAGGCGAATGGGAGTCATAGCTGTAATAATGATGTAAGTGAATGGGAGTCATAGCTGTAGTAATGTTGTAGATGAATAGGAGTCATAGCTGTACTAATATTGTAGGTGAATGGGAGTCATAGCTGAAGTAATGCTGTAGGTGAATAGGAGTCATAGCTATAGTAATGTTGTAGGTAAATAGGAGTCATAGCTGTACTAATATTGTAGGTGAATGGGAGTCATAGCTGTAGTAATGCTGTAGGCGAATGGGAGTCATAGCTGAAATAATGATGTAAGTGAATAGGAGTCATAGCTGTAGTAATGTTGTAGGTGAATGGGAGTCATAGCTGTAGTAATGCTGTAGGTGAATAGGAGTCATAGCTGTAGTAATGTTGTAGGTGAATAGGAGTCATAGCTGTACTAATATTGTAGGTGAATGGGAGTCATAGCTGTAGTAATGCTGTAGGTGAATAGAAGTCATAGCTGTAGTAATGTTGTAGGTGAATAGGAGTCATAGGTGTAGTAATATTGTAGGTGAATGGGAGTCATAGCTGTAGTAATGCTGTAGATGGATGGGAGTCATAGGTGTAGTAATACTGTAGGTGGATGGGAGTCATAGCTGTAGTAATATTGTAGGTGAATGGGAGTCATAGCTAAAAACGATTTATTAAACAACCACATTCAAAAACGATTTATTAAACAGCCACATTCAAAAACGATTTATTAAACAACCACATTCAAAAACGATTTATTAAACAGCCACATTCAAAAACGATTTATTAAACAACCACATTAAAAACCATTTATCAAACAGCCACATTCAAAAACGATTTATTAAACAACCACATTCAAAAAAGATTTATTAAACAGCCACATTCAAAAACGATTTATTAAACAGCCACGTTAAAAACGATTTATAAACAGCCACGTTAAAAACTATTTATAAAGCAACCACATTCAAAAACTATTTATAAAACAACCACATTCAAAAACGATTTATTATTCTTGGGAAAATGAAATAAAGCATAATGCTTCTGCCATCTTAGGCATTTTACACAAAAATATAAAAATTTAC